GACTTTCAGAGCTTAAGCAAATGTACAACATTACAACAGACCCTCAGTTTCGATGTGATATATATACAAAAATAGAGAAGCTTTAAAAACAAATAAAAGCTAATAAAGATAGAATCACCAAGTTAAAAAGAAATGCAAAGTATGTTCAAAACTGTAAAGAAAAAAAAAAAATTACTCATCAAAAATCAGGAAGTAATTAAATACAATCGGCCAGGTCGTCCATCGCTTCTTATTAAATATCCGCACCTACATGACAATATTCATGAATCAGTTGAATTTGGTTCAGCTGATGAAAAACGGCGAAAAGAAGTGGTTAAAGTGCAGATAATAGAGAATTTATATAAAAATCTTGAAGAGAATTATGGCATCTACATAGCACGAACAACATTAAATAATTACTTATTACCTCGCCAGTCCAATTCCATTGCCACAAAGGCATACCATCATCCAGCGTGGGTCTCGGTTGCTGGTGTTTCACATACTGAGACACATGAACATCCTGATAGTCACTATTGTTTTGCGTCCATCAAATGTGCAAAATAATTTGTGTCTGTTTTTGCTAATATGTCAATAATCATTTCTCAAGATGATAAAGCAAATATAGGTCTCGGCGTGCCTGCTATAGGTCGTATATTTTACAAATTGCAATCAATCAATGATCCTATTTGTGTACCAGATCATGATTTCTCTATAGGGTTTGAACAAAAACTAGTTCTATCAGTATACCTTATAATTAACCCAAATGAATCAAATGATGAGCTACGAACAGGACAGCTTGCCATTTTTGTATGCCACCAATGGTCTCTTAGTACATCTTCACTTATGCACATTCATGATCTTGAAAGTCTTACTTTAAATCCCCAATATGATGCTGTGTTAAAAACTAATAGAGAAATTCAACCAATCTGGGTATTATTAGTGGACGGGGGACCGGACAAGAACCCAAGACACCTAAAAAACATTAAGTCATATTGTTTGCTTTTTCGAAAGTTTAATTTGGATTATTTGACTATAAGAACAAATGCCCCAGGACAATCCAAATATAATCCTGTTGAGAGAGGAATGGCGACGCTTTCTGGTAAATTGGCAGGCGTTGTATTACTAATTAATTACTTTGGAACGCATCTAAATTCTCAGGGTAAAGTAATTAACCCAGAGTTGGCCCTTAAAAATTTTAAATATGCTGGAGAAGCTCTCTGCAATATTTGGAGTCATGATTTGATTTTTGGAAAGCATGTAAATGCACAGTATGTTGAAGAATTTACAAACTCTTTTGAAAATTTGCAGTTTGAGGGCACTGACAAAGAAAAAGCAGAAGAACTTGAGCGACAAAATAGAGAAAAACAAAAAAAAGATCAAAAAAAAAAACAAAAAAAAGACGACTTAACCGAGTGCCTTATACCATGGTCATGGATTGAAAATCATTATAACTTATGCCAATATTTCCTTGACATAAAGCGATGTACGAATACAAGTTGTTGTGGACCACCTCACGCAAAAGATGCCATGGATTTTTTGCAGCTAAATAACGGTTTTTTTACCTCCGGTCACCAAAGCTAAAGATGGACATTTCATCAATCCTATACATCTTCTTGAGTACTATGATCTCTTAAAAATTCCTAACTATGATTCACATTGTCCATCCCTTGATGAAACAACTTATTCACGGCTTAGTTGTTCCAAGTGTAACAAATACTTTCTGACACTTACATACTTGATGTATCACAAACGGTTAATGCACCCTACTAGTCGTAGACGACCCAAAAGAAAATCTAAAAATCAAATTGAGCAAAACTCATTAACCTTTGATGATTTCTCCCTTCTTCCATCACAGCAATACAATCAAATACTTTTGTCTGATGAATTACATTTAAGAGAATGGACTTCGGATAATGAGTAATTAGTCTAGCATTATGTTTAGAATTAGTTTGAAATTGTTAAAAAAATATTAAAAAAGTTTTTAGCACCTGTAAATGGTTAGATTAGAAAACCGCAATTCAATCAATTATTAGACAACAAGAAAAAGT